AGGTTCCCAGTTGGGGGCCTTCAAGGCAACTGTTTGATGTATCTCTTACACGTTGATGTTTCTCTCCCCCTTTTCTCTCTCCCTTCCCCTCTCTAAAAATAAATAAATAAAATATTCTTTAAAAATTTTTTAAAAACACTAAATAGGATTCTTCATCTCCTGGAGTACAGTAGAAGAGGCAGATGTTAAATAAATAATCACACAAATAAAAGGAAGAAGGGAGGAGATATTTTGGAGACTGGTATGATCTAGAGTTTCCCAATCCTCCACTTGAACAGGCCACAAAAAGTCCCTCAATTTACATCTTTGCTTAAATAACGCTACAGAATAATAACCTTTAGCAGGGCTATACACCATTTGAGGATTGTGCTGTCCATACAGTGAGAGTTCCATAGATGTTTGCTGAACAAATAGATGAGGGCTGTACAGTTAAATACCACTGAATGACTCCTTCAAAAATTTCTGGGTCTCAACCTTTGAAACAGGAAAATGAACAGAAAGGAGGAACCAAAGGGCCAGGCCCTTTGCTAGGCAATATCAAGGAGTGTATGTGTAGATTGACCAACTACTATTATTCTTTCCTCCTCAAGCCCATGTCCCCTCATACCAAGCAACTTGCAGTTTCTCGAGTAAAAGTCTCTAGCACCTCCAAGACTGGACTGCCCTTCCTCATCTAGTCCACCTGGAAAACTTATTCATGCTTCAAAATCCTGATCACCTTCTCTGTTGAGCTCCCCAACCCTACCTCAGCCGGGGGGACTTGATCTCTGCCCTCGTGCTACCTGTATTTTGGGCTCACCTCTAAAGCACTTATCATAACTTCTTATGGTAATTTAACTATGAGCTCTCTTAAGAACAGCAACCAAAGCCTATTCACCTTTGCAGCCCAGAAACTAGCCAAGAACCTAGAACATGATAGACACTCAAGGTTTAGCAAATGAAAGAATAAATGAATAAATGAACACAAGTCCTGTACTGTTCTACAAAAAGAGCAGGATAAAATTTATGCCCTCAAAAAGCTTACCATCTATTCATTGGGAAAGAGTAAATGTATCAAATAATAATTAAAGGTTTTTGCTAGACATATAAATTTGATAGGCATCATAAGGAATATGCCTTTTTACATATGAATTAGAATAATGTATTGCAATGTAAACTGCTAGATGGTATACAATTAAATAAATCTTCAAGTATTCCTGGAAACCCATATCCTCCTCCTACATTATTTGTCATTTGAATTGATAGCAATAAATAGCAAAGGACAAAATTATAAGCAGAGTCCACTTGGAAATACATAGTGCTCGTTATTATTTAATGCCTGGTGAAAGGACAAAGCCAGGCCCATTTGCTATTGTGGCACCGTTTGCTGAGCAGGCCAATGACCTTGTTAAACATGACCGCCCTTTTACTCCTCTGAGTTTGTTCCCAGGACTGGAAACTACTGGAAGCAAGAACAGAACTAACCTCCCTACAGCCACAGACAGAAGATAACACTGGAACAAACTTCGGCCTTCCGGCCTTCCTTCCGTTAAAACATCCCAGCTGCCCAGGGGCCACACAACAGCAACACCCCCTCCTTTTTTAAATCCAATTATAATCCAATAAAAGCTCAAAGCTCCAACCCCTCAATGCTGGTGTATATCTCTCCACACCATGCACCTCTCCTTTCTTGGAGAGTGGACAAAAACTTTATTCTCTACACTTTCTTCTATTTGTGAATTCTTTCACAGCCTGGGTCACCAACCACCCTAACACCTGGCACATAGTAATTAATTACTCAGAAGCTTTTATTGAATGAGTGATCTGATGTTCTTAATCATAGAGAAAAGTTGTCTGTATGCCAGTAAGGCATGTATATCAGCAGTTGGGGTTACCTAGAATATATCCCTCTCATAATGAAAACAGAACCAGTTCTAGGCCCCAAACATTTCCCGTTTTTAGAACCCAGCTGCTAAGGGCTATTCTTACCCACTTTTGGTATAAGGAGTAGAAAAGAGTTGTTAGGTCACAAACTATCCCTCCATATCTTATCCATGTGTTAATAACGCATCTAACTCACCAATCTCTCTCTCCATGCCCCATGGTTCTCTGGCCAGGGTTGGTGAGACTCATAGAGCTAAACTCAAATTTAGAAGATGAGTTTTAATACTGAGAGTTTAAAATATTAATTATATGGAGCACTGGGTACCTGGTAAACTGCACTTTTCTGATTGGTGAGTAAGACCAGGAGAAACTACAAACGAGAATCCAAGCATCTGTCAAACCAGAAAAGTCAGAGTTCATGCTGCCTATCACTACCAGAACCAATAAGTAGAGACAAGGATAGAATCTTTATGGGCGCTTTATTCAGATGCCAGCAGTCTCAGGAGACAGTGGGTTATCTACCCTCAAAAAACATCTTAAAATCTCATCTCAAGCTGATCTTTTTATAAAGAGAAGAAAGAGTATGTAAGAAGAGTGGAAAAAAAGATTAATTGGATGAGAGCTGCAGCAATTTTCCTAGTACTGCTTTATCTGTTGATCAACATTTCTTTTTTTTCCGTCATAGACATTCCCTCCCTGGAACACAATGGCTCAGATACCATCTCCAGACCCCCTGGAGTCACAGGGTCATGCATTCCAGTTGCTGGAATAACAGCTTTCCACATGCATTAATCACTTAAAGCCTATCAACTATGATTGAAGCTAAAATCTTTAACATTTGGGCTCCCCTGTCATCTGGACTGTTGTAAGAGGTAAGACTGGCACCCTTAATGAAGTAAAGATCTCTGCCAACCAAAATAAATAAATAAATAAATAAAAAACCTCCAGCACAAGACCCTCAGAATAAATAAACATCAATAAAGGGAAAAGAGCAGGGTATGTGGCAGAATGGACAGAAAGCCTCAAAAGCCTCTGTCATCCCTCATTCATTCATTCATTCGTGTGCTAAGGATTGTGGAAAATAAGAATGAAAAAGAGAATTTTGTTGTTAAGGATTTTGCCAATCAGGAATATAAAATGCCCACACATAGCTAGCACACAAGGAAGAAAGTAAAGATCCACCAGAGAGGTACCAAAAAAGTATGTTCAGAGACAGAAATCTCATATTTAGGAAGCTATTAGATACTCCTAACTGTAAAACATTATCAGGATTTTTTAAATATTAGAACATTAAGTCCTGACTGGTGTGGCTCAGTGAATTGAGTGCCAGCCTGTGAACCGAAAGGTTGCAGATTCAATTACCGGTAAGGGCAGTTGCTCGGTTGTGAGACAGATCCCCCATTGGGGGCATGCTAGAGGCAACCGATTAACGTGTCTCTCGCACATTGATGTTTCTTTCCCTCTTTCCCTTCCTTCCCCTCTCTCTAAAAATAAATAAATAAATGAAACCTTTAAAATTAAAAAATATTAGAACATTAAGAGAAAAAAAATCAATGCTAATTCTTGTACATCTTGCTAAAATGATATCTTCCATATTGCCTGATATATGTCTCATATTGTCTGTCATACTGTCCCAACATCAGGGCTGCTGGCCTCTCCTGGGGCAACACCATATTTTCCTATTACCAAGGAATGGAGAGCGGATGATGAAATATGTAATAGCATGAGCCTGCTGTCTGCCCACTCCTGTGTAGTCAACCACTTAATCCTCACAACATCCCCAAGGTTGGTACTGTTATATTTCCATTTCACAAATAAAACAGGCAGAGAAGTTAAGTGACTTGCCCAAGGTCACCCAGCAGGTAAGCAGCACAGGCAGGATTTAAATCCAAACTCTGTGGCCTTAGCCATTACAATACACTGCCTCTCAACTGAGAATTTGTGGTTAAATTTATCAGGACTTATATAGCTGCATGACAGGTGATTTTGGTCAACTTTCCCCTTTAAACACATCCATCTATTTAACACTATGCTTATTTATACACGACAAATATACATACACCATTATTGATCTAGTTTTGAAAATGGTATGGCTTTTCAGGACATAGTTTTCACAATCTTTAAGAGAAATTCTCCTTGTTAATCTGAAAAAAATCAAATGCCTGTGTCATGAGAAGTAGCGGTGGGCAGGCCTGGTTAAAGTGCAGTTTGAACTGGGGCTTGAAAGGCACCATTCCTCATAGGTCATCTCATGGCCTTAGGCAAATTGCTTAGCCTTGTTTATTTCTCCATCTGCAAAGTGGGTGTAAATGAAGTGATAAGGATTAGTTGGTATTAACCTTTTAAATTGCTAACTAAGCACAGGACTTGACAGAGTGAATGCTCAATAGACGTTGGCTTTCATTATTTAGATCCTGGGTTATTTCTATTTCCAGAATGCAAGCCCTCCAGTAGCCTCAGAAATGCTTTCTCTGTCCCAGAATCGCTATCAATCCCTTAAGCACATTTCTATTTCCCACAGAGCACAGTGACACTAGCAGAAGGCTTCCGTGGACCACAGCCTGAAGGTGGCCATGTAGCCTCGCTCAGGCCCCAGGCCCAGGAAGGAGGTAGGCTCTAGACTATGTCCGGGTGGCACCACAAAACTTAACCCAGATTTCTCGCTTGGGTGAACTCATTTGTTAGGGGAGAATCCCGGGCCCTGTCGGACAGGCTCGGCTGCAAAAGGAACGCGGACGCTGGGGCCAAGAGGAGGAGCTCACTCACCTGCCAAACCCAAGGGTAGGCACCCCTCCTTCACAGCATCCCTGGGGACTCCCCACATCCCACGTCCCCTTTGGTTGGCCACCGGGGACCGATCTGACAGTGCCAACAGAGTGAATTCCCCCACAATCTTCTGATATACATGCCCCCGATTTCTAAGAAGGGGCCAAGGGAGGATCCCCAAGCGCTTCACAAAGCCAGGTAAAGAGCTCCATCTCTGGCGCACATGTTGAGTCGCCTGAACCAGCTCCAAAGTCCGAGCGCCGCCGCCTCTCCCTCGCTGCCGACCGAGTGCTCCGCAGCCACGTGTGAGCGGGACCCAGGGCCGCAGCTCTGTGGCGCTCCCGCCCGCTCCCGTCGCCCCTTCCACTCACCAGGTGAAGAGTTTGCCTTTTATCCTGCGCAGCAGGCTGGCAACCGGGCCCCTCGCTCCCTGCGCCTGCGGCGGTGGGGCGCCGCGTCCCGCCGGCGAGGTTACCTCCATAGGGGCGCCTGCGGTCTCCAGCGCCCGGAACCCCCCGAAGTGCTGGGGCCCGGAAGACGGGAGGCGGCGCCTGTGCGCCGGCGGGGAATCAGATCGGCTCCAGTACCCGCGCTCCCGCGCTCGCTCTGTCCTCTCTCTGGCTTCTCCAGCAGGCTCCTTCTGCGGCAAATCATTAACTGTCAAGCCCCTAGGGCCAGACAAGCATACATTTGCAGATTATAACCTGGCACCTCCGAGGGAGCGGGAGGAGAAAGGGCACTTTTTTTTTTCCGCCTTAGCTGTCGAGCCTCAGTGTTGGGTGATACCCAATCTATACTTCAGGTTTTTATGATCCCTCATTAAAAAATCAGCAAATGAGGTAATACGAGGTTATGCCCGCGTGTCCTAACTTAAGAAGGCTTCATTTAGCAGCTGCCCTGAACTTTGCTAACTGGAAAGAACCGGCTGGCCGCTCCCTTGATCTCCCAGTCTCCCTCCCTCTGACTAGTTTAGAAAACATATTTTCCATCTAAAAGAACTGAAGAAGCTTTAGTTCTGTTTCTCTTCCTCGAAAAACATGAGTAAAATCTTGAAAGGATCCTGGAAACATGTCCTTGTGGTGTGTTTCCTCCCTTACGTTGTGTTCGGTTTGCCTTTCAGTGAGCCTGGGAGGTGCCCGCCAAGGGGAGGTGCCCGCCAAGGGGACGATGCCCACCCCTGGCTCTCAGCCAGGTTGCCCCGGGGCCTGGGCCACGCCTTCCTTCCCGTGCTTCCGCGGACCGCGAGGGACTAGCAGCCGGGGTCCAAAAGTTCCCCTCAACTGACAGGGCTTCCGTGGGCCCGGGAGACTCCCTGCTTCCTGAAAAAAGATCAGGAAGACAAAAGTAAAGCTTTCGGGGTCATTTTTACCCCCAACTACCTCCTTCCTTGAGCAAAGTGGGAGGGCATGGAGATGATGAAGAAGCATTAACAAATGAAACTTAAAATGGGTTGACAGTTCTGTGAGAAGATTCTAAGAAAAAAATAAATTTTGAAAAAATGAAATGCAGCTTTAGAAACCCCAAGTTTAGCAGCTGCAGCAATCCTAAATTCTAAGTGAAATGATTTTTTTTCTAATTGTTGAAGGGACATGAGGAATAAAACTGAAAATTAAGAACATGGTCATCCATAGAGGCATGACTGAGTAGCAAGTACGGTACAACCACATCACAAAACACTATGACAATATTAAAAAGAAGGAAAATGAGCTATACCAGGCCTTGAAAGGAACTTTCCCTAGGAGTAAAAAGGTAAGATGCAGGAAAGTATATTTAATATGACCTCATTTTTGTAAAACAAACAACCCATTGAACCTTGTGTATTGTCAATGTTGAATTTTACCTGAGCATTGCCCTCCTGGAAAACAGTAATGGTTAAGAAAACTTCTGTAGTAGGCAGTTAGCCAGGCTTGAGAAGAGGAGGACTGATAGGCCAAGCACGGAAGGTCACGAGGGTAGAAAGGCCCAGGAGCCTAGCACTGGCAATTATAAGGTGGGACCTCACCTCCAGGGTGACCTTTCTTCCCTAGCATATCGCTGGTCACAAAGGGGACTGAAAAATACCCTCCTATGATTCCCACACAAGACCTTGCATGACCACTCCTGTAAACATTAAGACCTAGAGATAACACCTAGTCATGTTTCAGTTCCAGGCCCAGAAAAACAGCAAGGCCAAGTGTGGCAACAGGGTGGCTAACATCAAGGCCAATCAGTGGAGACCAAATCTATGAAGGGACACACCCGCACACCTGGAAAGCTGATACTATTCCATTGAGATCCTCCTCTGAGATCCTCCTCTGAGATCCCCGCCCCCCTCAAGACCAAGAACCCAGCCTGAGGTCCTCTTTGCCTCTCTCTGTCTCTCTTTGTCTATCTGTCTGTCTGTCTGTCTGTCTCTCTCAAGCCCAAGTCTGTTGGAAGTGGCACACTGCAAAGAAACACCATTCCCCATGTGAGTCATATGAGACCCAGAGGTGTTCTCTGTTACCTAGGACAAGGCCAGACACGTGCCTCAAATTATTAGCTGAACTACCTATTCCCCTTGACCAATAGCAACAAAATGCTCCTTAACCAAACTGGTTAAATTCCTCTTCTTCCTCCAGACCTGGGAACTTGTATCCAGTGTGGCCTGAGCCAGCAGTAAGCCTTCCTTAATGGACCCTTTCTGTAAATGTGTTTGTCTCAGGGTAAAACTTTCTCTGATCTACCATGCAATCTAGCAACTCTTTCATTCCCCTTCCCCCAGGCAGGGAAGAATCTTCAACCTCCTATTGCAATAACATCCCCCTCCCACACACACACACACACTCCCCTTGCAATAATCCTTTCAAATAAAGTTTCTCCTCACCTAAATCAGGTTTGTTTTTTATTTGACAATATGTACGTGGTTAGCGAACATGGAGAATAGTGTTGGATACATGTCAACAGAAGCAATCCTTAGAAAGTTAAGGGATACAGAAAGAAGAAGAAAACCCTACTTAAAACACTCCAGCACGTCTGATGAGTGCCTTTTATGTAAAAGTGTGTATTTTGTATAAATATATGAGATTAAAAAAATGGAGTTAGATGTGGCAAGCTGAATAATGTCACCCCGAAAATATACAGCTCCTAATCCCTAGAACCTGAGAATGTTCTTTATACAGTAGTCTCTTCTTATTCATGGTTTCACTGTCCCCAGTTTCAGTTACCCATGGTCACCAAGGGTCCAAAAATCTTAAATGGAAAATTCCAGAAATGAACAATTCATAAATTTTAAATTGTGAATCATCCATTTGTCCTCTGTATCAGTGCTGTATATACTTAGTACCTATTCCTCATTTAGTTCTGTTATCAGATGGACTCTTGCTGTATCTCAGTGCTTCTCTTCAAGTAACACTTAGGTCAGTTAATCGCCCCAAAGGGCAAGAGTAATGATGCCAGCAACTCAGATATGCCAAAAAGAAGTCATAAAGTGCTTTCTTCAGGTGAAAAAGTATGTACATATAGAGGGGAAAAAAACACGGCACATGTAGGGTTTGGTACCCTCTGCAGTTTTAGGCATCCACTGGAGGTCTTGGAACACATCTCCTTGGCTAAGGGGGACTGCTGTATATAGCCAAAGGGACTTTGCAGATGTGATTACATTACTTGCCTACAGAGGGAGATTATCTGAGTTCTGTGATTGGCCTTAATGTAACCACAAGTGTCCTTGTAAGAAGGAAGGAAGCAGAGGGAGAAGGCGGTATGATAATGGAAGAGGAGGTTAGGGTGTTGCAATTTGAAGATGGAGGAGGTACCACTAGCCAAGGAATAAAGGCAGCCACTAGAGGCTCAGAGCCTTGAAAAGGGAGTAGCCCTCCCAATTTTAGCCTTAGCTGTAGCCTAGTAAAACTGATTTCAGACATCTGATCTCCAGAATTGTAAGAGAATACATTTGTTTTGTCATTATGTTAGTGGTAATTTGTTAGAGCAGCCATAGAAAACAAAAGCATATGTATATACACTAACATGTAGAGCTCATGATATACCATCGAGTGAAAAAAAAAAGTTGCAGAATAAGTGTATAACATGGTTCCATTTTCATAAAAACCACCAATTAAGAAACTAAATATCTTTGTGTGTGTGTGTGTGTGTATCTTTGTTTCCCTGTGTTTATATGAGCAACAAGAAGGGTGTGGAAGAATGCAGAGCAGGCTTTAGGTCATGGGAGTGGTGGGAATAGTGAGGAGAATAACAGAGGAAAAATGGCCTTATACATCTTCATTTTGTGTTCTTACTATGGGCATATTCTACTTCTGCAATTTGAAAAATATTCAGTTAAGATACATTACTATGTGGTTAAATCATGTTAGTCCTAATTCAAAACATGTTAGATTCAGCATATCGTCCCCACAGGAAAAAGGAGTTAGGAAATATAGTCTACCACCATATGTGGACTCTCAAGTTATAAACAAAGTTATAAGTAGTATTTTCTAAACAGAAAATCTCCCTCAAAAAATACCAATGGGCAGTTCTTACCACTTTTACTACCACTGCCCAGGTTCAAGCCACCATCACTGCTTAACTGGACTGCTGTGATAAACTCCCTCTCTGCCCAGCAGTTAGAGTAATGCTTTTAACATACAAGTCAGATCATGGCACGCTTCTGTTCAATACTGCCCTTTAAAATACTGTTGGAATAAAACTTAAAGTCCTTCCAATGACCTGTAAGAGAATAATTGATCTGGCCCTTGTTGCCTCTGTGACCTCATCTCTTTTAACTCCCCCTTGATCACTGTAATTCAACCACACCGGCCTTCATCTCAGCTCATCAAGCAGACCAGGTACACTCCTATCTCAAGGCGCCTGTAATGTCCTTCTCCCTGCCTGGAATGCTCTTCTCTCACGTGTCCTCATGACTTGCTCCTTTGCCTCCTTCAAGTCTCTGCTCAAATGTCCCCTTGTCAATGATGTATTTTTTTCAATAAAACATTTTGATCATCCTATTTAAATGGACAAATGCTATTCCCCTAGTACCTTACCAGTACTATTAACTCCCTCCTAGTTTTTTCTCCGCAGAACATTTCACCATCTGACATACTAAATATATTCTGAATTATTTGTTTATTGATCATTGTTTATGGTATCCCCATTAGAATATAAGCTTTATAAAGGCTCATTAATCTATTCCCTGTGCCTAAAACAATGCTTTGCACATAGTAAGCAACCGATAATTTTGTGGATTTTTTTTTTAAGTAGCAATGGTAGTAATGCTCTAGCATTGCTCCAAAATGAGTTCATCCCCCTACTGAAGATTATTGATCAGTCTACATTATTTTGGTATCAGGATTAGAATAAATTGAGTGGCTCCATAGGCACCAATCCACAAATTAACTGAAATTTACTGAAAAAATAAATTATTTAGACGTTGGAGATTTCAGAAGTTGTAATAACCTTCTTCTGATACATGCCAGAACATAGCTACCACTTATTAAGCACCTACTGTGCCAAATATTTTATAAACATTTTCAGTCCTGCTCC